TTTTACATGATGTATCTTGGTTCTTATTTTTTCCCCATTCCCCTGCCCTCCCTTCACCCCCTCCACCCTTCCCTATTTACAAAGACTTTGTTTCCATGTTTTTCCTTTTCCTTTTCTCATTTTTTTCTTTTCCCTTCTTTACTTTCCCCTTCCCCTCCCATTTCCCCTATTCCTTTAGACATTTTCTATTTCACAATATCAATTACACTTTTTGTTTTGGTAGTGGGGATCGAACTCAGGACCTTGCGCTTGTGAGGCAGGTGGTGGAACCACTGAGCTAAATCCCTGGCCCTCAATTATACGTTTTGATTTTTATTTACACTTTTAGTTTTTCACACCAGAGAAAGTATTCGGTATTTACACAAGTGTGTCCTATTTATTTCACTTAAGAGTATGGCCTCAATGTGCATCCACTTAGCTATAAATGTATCTAGTTTCTCATTCTTTATGGCTGAGTAGTACTGCATTGTATAAAAAAACCCACATCTTCTTTATCCAGTCTCCAGTTGATGGGCAATTGGACTGTTTCCAAGTTTTAGCTATTACAAACTGGGCTGCTATAAACATGGGTGCACATATATCTCTGTGGTATGATTCTTTTAATTCTTTGGGAAGATAACCAGTAAAGGAATAGCTGGGTCAAATGGGACTTCCAGTCCTAGTTGTTTGAAGTATCTCCATATTGATTTCCGTAGAGGTTGCACCAGTCTGCACTCTCACAACAATGAAAAAGGGTTCCTTTCTCCCCACAACCCCACGAGCATTTGTTATTGGTTGATTTCATGATAACAGCCATTCTTTCTGGGGTGAGGTGGAATCTCAGTGTTGTTTGCATCTGCATCTCTTTTTTTTTCATCTGCATCTCTTTCTCATTTTTTCATATATTTATTTGCTGCTTTTACTTCTTTGTCAGATGCCCATTTTTGAATTGGGTCTTTATATTTGGGGGTTCTGATTTTTTTGAGTTCTTTATATATTCTAGGTAGTAGACCTTTGTTTGAGGAACAGCTGGTAAAAGTTTTTTCCCACATTGAAGGTTGTTTTTTAGCTCTGTTGGTGGTTTCTCTTGCAGTGCAGAAGCTTTTTAATAAGATGAGATCCCAGTTGTTGATTCTTTCTTTGTGCTAGTTCCTGTGCTACTGAGGATTTGTTCATAAAGTCCTTTCCTATGCCAGTGTCTTCAAGAGTTCTGCCTAACTTGTCTTCCAGCAAGTTCAGTGTTTCTGTTTTAATATTTAGATCTTTAATCCACTTTGATTTTAGTTGAGTGCATGGTGAAAGATAGGGGTCTAGTTTTAATCTTTGGCAGGTTGAAATCCAGTTTTTCCAGCACCATTTATTAAAGAGGCTATCTTTCCTCCAGTGAGGATGGTTGGCTCCTTTGTCAAAGATAAGGTAGCTGAGT